GATGGAATACACAGAAATCAAATTGACTACCTCTGTGGGAAGAGTTGGTGGAAAAACTCCATCTCATCAGTCAAAACAAGGCAGGAGAAGACTGTGGAAAGACCATCAATTTCCCATATGGAAGTTCAGGCTGAAGTTGAAGAAAATTAAACAAGTCCACAAGAGTCAAAATATGACCTTGAATACATCCCACCTAATTTAGAGATCATCTCAATAACAGATCTGATAACATTAGATACCAAAGACCAAAGACCAGAAAAGTTGTGGGATGACATTAAGAACATCATACAGAAAGCAAGCAAAAGGTCATGAAGAAGTCAAGAAAGAAAGAAAAGAACAAAATGTATCTCAGAAGAGACTCTGTAATTTCCTCTCCAGCATACAGATGGTAAACACATGGAAGAAATGAGAAGCCTAAAGAGCTGAAAAAAAATTTCAAAGGGTAGCTCATGAAGAAAAAAATCAAGCATTATAATGAAATGTGCAAAGACCTAGAGTTAGAAAACCAAACAGGAAGAATATGCTCAGCATTTCTCAAGATGACAGAATTTAAGAAAAATTCAAATTCTTAAAGAATTTAAGAAAAATTCAATACTAAAGGATTCTGTGAGCAAAATATTGAATGATGTAGAAAGCATCAAAAGAAGATGGAAGGAATTCACAAAGTCACGGTACCAAACAGAAGTGGTCTATGTTCAACCATTTCAAGAGGTAGTACTGAAGGAAGAAGTCCAAATTGCACTGCAGGTATTGGCAAAGAACAAAGAACTGATAGAATGCAGACTGAACTCTTTCCACAAACTGATGCAGTACCGGAAGCACTCACTCATTTAATGCCAAGAAATTTGGAATACAGTTACCAGGACAACTGATTGTAAAAGATTTCTATTTGTGCCTATTCCAAAGAGAGTTGACCCAACAGAGTGGGGAAATCATCAGAGAGTATCATTAATATCATATGCAAGTAATTTTTGTTAAAGATAATTTTAAATGGCTGCCACAATACATTGACAGGAAATTGCCAGAGCTTCAAGCCAGATTCAGACTAGGACATGGAAGGGGGGATATCATTGCTGTCATGGATTTAGGTTGAAAGCAGAGAATATCAGAAAGATGTTTACCCATGCTTTATTGACTCTGTAAAGGTTTTCAGTTGTGTGGATGATGAAAAATTATATATAACATTGTGAAGAATGGGTATTTCAGAACACTTCATCATGCTTATGAGGAACCTGTCATGGACCAAAAGGTAGGTATTTGAACAAAACAAAGGGAGAGTGAACACTTTAAAATCAGGAAAGATATGTGCTAGGATTGTATTCTTTCACCATGCTTATTCAGTCTGCATGCTGAACAAATAATCTGAAAAACTGGATTATATGAAGAACACCTTTGCTTGATACAGAAAGCGAAGAGAATTTATTATTTACCGATGAAGATCAAAGACCACAGCCTTCAGTATGGATTGCACTTTAATGTAAAGAAAACGAAAATCCCCACCATTGGACCAATAAGTAACATCATGATAAAAGGAGAAAAGATTGAAGTTGTTCAAGACTTTATTTTCCTTGGATCTACTATCAACACTCACAGAAACAGCAGTGAAGAAATCAAGTGACATATTGCATCCAGCAAATCTGCTGTACTAAGGTGCACTTGACTCAAGGCCATGCTATTTTTAATAGCTGCTCTTCATAAACCTTACACAGGGTCGCCATGAGTTGGAAATGACTCATTGGCACTTAACAACTATATTCATATGAAAGTTGGACAATGAATAAGGAAGACAGAAAACTTGATACATTTGAGTTATGGTGTTGGGGAAGAATATTAAAAGTACCATGGACCGTCAGAAGAACAAACAAATCTGTGTTAGAAGAAGTACAGACAGAATGCTTCTTAGAAGCCAGGATGGTCAGACTTCGTTTTTCATTAACTCAGGCATATTATTCAGGAGGGACCAGTCCCTGGAGAAGAACATCATGCTTGGTTATTGAAAAACAGGAAAACCCCGTATGAGATGGGTTGGCACATGGCAGCAGCAGCATGTGATTGGGAGGATAGCGCAGGACCAAGCAGTGTTTTGTTCTGTTGTGTATAGGATTGCTATGAGTCAGAACCGACTCTGCCTGCCGAATGTAAAAACACCAACCAACCCCAAGGTCAGTGTAAACACACCAGCTGCTCCTGGTGAGAAAGATGAGATACTAGCTGCTACTATTTACAGTCCAGGAAACCTTACTTAGGTAGGGTTGCTATTGAAGAAGAGGGTTGGATTGCTTTTGGTGTAGGGCAACCCTGGTGGCGCAAATGGCTAAGCACTCGGCTACTAAGCATCAAGATTGTCGGTTCAAATTCACCCTGATGAGTTTGAAAGGCCTGGTGATCTAGTTCTGAAAGGTCACAACTACGAAAATCCTGTTCTACTCTTATGCACGTGGAGTTATCATGAGTCTAAATCTACAAGGGCAACTGGCTTTTTTGTTTTGTTTTTGAATAGTTACAGCAGCACCTGCTTTGCTTGACAGCTGAATTGGAATGGATTAAACTGGTTAGTGCAGTGGGGGGAGGGGGGGATGGGAGGAAGACTTTGCCGCAGATGAGTAAAATCCTGGGTGCCTTTAAGCACTCCTCATAGGGCATCTTTGGGATGGAAAGAAATATCCAAAAAGGATCCTATCCATCTTACAGCAATTCACTATGCCCACTCAATCATCAGAAAACCGTCCCTCCCAAGCTGATATTATTATCCTAAAAATACTAACGTGGAAGACTGCGACTTTGAACAGTTAGATGATTTAACCAGGGTTACACATCTAGGAAAAGGTATATCCCACTCCCGAGACCCTTGATGCCGCATGGTGTGAAGAACCAACATTTCAGTATAACTAGGATTTCATGCAGTGCAAAAGCACGGGGTAAAAACGAAATGTTTCGTCTTTCCGATTGGCGAAATGCTGGGGATTCTCCTTCCAAACCTTTGCTGAGGCTCAGGTAACAACACTTTCAAAATAGATGAACAGAAACCAACGTTCTCTCCCTGCCTCATCTGCTGGAGATCCTGGATTGGAAAATTTTTGCGTCTCAGTTCCCGATGCAGGGCTTCCAGCCTCTCTCAACCCGCATCAGGGTCCCCAGACTGAAATGTCTGGAGGTGGGAACGTCCTTAACAGGTAGGAGGCGGGTCGGGGGCGTCAAATCCAGTGCAGGCCTCCTGGAGCTGGAACGAACAGGTTTCCAATTAAATCTGCAGAGCTGGAAGCCTCGTTCCAAACGCTGCCCAAAAAAGGAGCGTTGAGAGGAACGCGGCAACCCCCACCTTTATAGAATAGTGCTCCTCCAGGGCCATCTGCCTGCACCACAAGCTCCAAAATTGGCAACCTAGGCCTCGCAGCCGCCTTTTTAAAGCCAACCTTCTCATAGAAAAGAGGAGGCTGGATATTAAAAATGTAAATGGTAGCGGGGATTTAGGAGGCAGACCCATGGATACGGGACGTTGGGCCAGGGAAGAGCCTGTGACCTCAGACGCCCTCGGCTACTACCCTGGTGGGCGAAGAGGCGAGGAGGGGCGCTGCGTACACCCCTTCCCTCCGCTTCCGCCACCTAGGCCGCGGCGGGACAATGCGTGACCTCTTTTCCTGGCCTGGAGTTAGGGAGGGGACTTGGCCGAATTAGATCCCGAGCCTTCCGGCCGCAGCCCCCCTCCCGCCGCACCGGGCCCTACACAGGTGGTTTTCCGCTCGCGAGGGCCGGGCCCGGACACTTTTATATAACAATAGCGTTCTACGCGCCCGGAACGCGCCTCGCCGCCGCCGCGGCGGCCCCCGCCCGACCACGCCTCCATCCGGCTACCAGCCCCGCGGCGCCTTGGCGCGACTAGATGCTCCCCAAGTTACCTGCTTGCTTGGCCGAGAGGCCAAGACGTTCCCCGCGACTTCCCGGTCTCCTCAGGAGCCAGGAAGCCCTGGGAGATAGTCCTCGCCCCCCTCCCCCTAACCCCAAGACACTGCTGAAACCGCGGGCAGACTGTTGGCCCCGCACCCGTCCGTGAGGTCGCACAACGCCCAGCGCCCACCGAGCAGTGAGGTGGGGTAGTGGATGGTGCAAGGAGCGCAGCACGCAAGCGCGACCGGTGTTCTGCACGTGCCCAGCACTGGGCAGTGGGGGGTGGGGGGTGGGTAGTGGCTAGCGCAGGAAAGGGAGGACGCGGCCCAGGTGAAGAAGGCCAGGCAGGGTGAAGGCTTCGGCCAGACTCTGCTCGCTCCGACCTGACTCTGTCTATAATAGCCAATCGTCTAGACCGTCAGCTGAGCCCCCGCAACCTGCAAGCTTTTCAGGAGGACTTCCCTTCCGCCTCGCTGATGGGGACAGTCGGCGTGCCTTACACACCCTCGCACACTTCGCCCAGGCAGCTCCGCCAGCCCGGCTCCTGGGTCAGAAGCTGAGCTCGCTGCCAGAAAAGAATAACGAGTGCGACCCCCCTCTCTCCCTGCGTGAGGTGGGTGGCGGTGGGGGTTGACTTAGCTCCCCAGAACAAGTTTCTAACGCTCCACATCGTCGAAGCGGAAAAGTTTCCTTCTTCAGCCTTCACTGCTTAAAAAAAATTTTTCTTTCTTTTTTAATTAAAGCACTTTTAAAAAAAGCTTTGTTCTGCTTGTTTGGATAACTAAACATTTGTTTGTTTGCTTGCTTGAAAATGTTTCAACCCAATCCTGACTTGTTTAGAAAAACGTTGGCTTAGCATTTAACACTTCATTGGTCACTAAAGCCCGGGCAGTTCACCAGTCCCAACACAGCCTGGGCTAAAAGAATATCAAGCAAATAGAGCTGGGCTCTTTAAACTGGCAAATAAATGCCACACACCGCCTAAAAGGGGGAGTGGAGGAGGAAAGGGTGTCTAGGCGAACTCTGGCACAAATTAGTTTGAATGAATAAAAAGGGGGGGAAAAGTCAGCATAAGTTTTCATAAAGCTAGCTCGAGAACACAGGCGTCTAGAACAAGGACTTTTGTGCCTGCTAATTGCACCATTTGTGCGCAAAAATTCCGACGCAAAGTGTGAACACTCAACAAAAGGAAACATGAGACAACTGATGTGCCCTGGTTTGTGTGCCCTGCTCCTCCTCCGCCGCCGCCTCCTCTTCTTTCTCCTTCCTCCCGCGGAGCCCGCTGTTGCAGCTTGTTTGCACTGGGTCTTATCCGGAGCGGAAATTCCTTTCCGTTTTTGTGAATGACAAACTCATTAACAATTCATCAACACAACCTGTTCCAACCGGCCCGTACCCACGGCAACAGCCACTTCCGCAGCGCGCTCATTGGCTGGCTCGGAGAATGTATCCATTGAGACGCTAGCTGTTTGTATCCATTGAGGAGCTGCCTCGCGCAGGGGGTGTGCGAAGGCTGAGACTAAGGGACTGTAAGCAAATCGAGGCTTGAATAATCCGAGCAGAAAGACGCCCGGGTGGATTTGAGGTGCAGCCTTGGAGGGAGGGTTTAGGAGCCGCTGGACTTTTTTTCTTCCTCCTCTTTCAAGTAGCACGAAGTCCGAATTAAATGGATTTCATTCACTAAGGAGGAACAAAACTGTCTGGGCAGCTCCATTCAGAGAGATCCATTGACACCAAAGGCGGCTGCAGCTCTGTGCAGAGGGAACTGCGGCTTCACTTCTGTCTCGCCTTCCCCAACCACTAACCGGGGTTTGGAAAAGGCGAGGCGGAATTAAACCCTGCTCCCGGAGCGGCGGCTTTGCGCGACGCGGTCAGCCTATGCCTGCCCCACGGGGCGTCTGGTAGGCACCTCGCCTTCGCCCTCAGCTCGACCCCCATGATAGATACGCTCAGACCCGTGCCCTTCGCGTCGGAAATGGCGATCAGCAAGACGGTGGCGTGGCTCAACGAGCAATTGGAGCTGGGTAACGAGAGATTGCTGCTGATGGACTGCCGGCCACAGGAGCTGTACGAGTCGTCGCACATCGAGTCGGCCATCAATGTGGCCATCCCAGGCATCATGTTGCGGCGCCTGCAGAAGGGTAATCTGCCGGTGCGTGCGCTCTTCACGCGCGGCGAGGACCGGGATCGCTTTACCCGGCGCTGCGGCACCGACACCGTGGTGCTCTACGACGAGAGTAGCAGCGACTGGAACGAGAACACGGGTGGCGAGTCGGTGCTCGGTCTACTGCTCAAGAAGCTCAAGGACGAGGGCTACCGAGCATTTTACCTGGAAGGTAGGCTCCTGGGGTTCCGAGTGTTAGGTGTGGCGACGGGCAGGACGCGAGGACTGAAAATTCAGTCCCTACTGCGCTCGAGCGAGCACCGCGCGGCGTAGCCAGAGTTCTGCTACCGGGCTGGGGCAGCGAACCGCGTGCGCTCGGCACAGGGGAGCTAGACAGCACAAGCCGCCCGTTTTCGGCTGCTGGCACGGGCTGTTTTTAACGATTTCTCTGACTTCTTACCTGCAACGTAGTTTCCCTTCCCCCATTTTCTGCTGATCGATTTTTAATGAAGATTTACAGAATCGAAGAGGTCGTTTGGATGCAGATTGGCATCTCTTTAAATAATCGAAAAAGTTGCCTGTTTGTTCGTTTCCCAATTCAGAAGACTAAGGGATTCTAAGAGGGGAATGAGGAGTGAGGTCGTTTGTTCGCTCCCGATGCGCATTCAAGTGTTTTTTTTTTTTTCTTGGATCCTGTGTGCAAGGGATGAGGGATTGGTAGGGTGCTCGCAGTATGCCCTGCGCCGGAGTACTGCTCTCACAAGCTGTGGAAACTACTACGGGATCTCATGTTACAATATTGCTTTTCTCTTTCTGGCAGGTGGCTTCAGTAAGTTCCAAGCCGAGTTCGCCCTGCACTGTGAGACCAATCTAGACGGTTCGTGTAGCAGCAGCTCACCGCCCTTGCCAGTGCTGGGCCTCGGGGGCCTGCGGATCAGCTCCGATTCCTCCTCGGACATTGAGTCTGACCTTGACCGAGACCCCAATAGTGCCACGGACTCGGATGGCAGCCCGTTGTCCAACAGCCAGCCATCCTTCCCGGTAGAGATCTTGCCCTTCCTCTACCTAGGCTGTGCCAAGGATTCCACCAACCTGGACGTATTGGAAGAATTCGGCATCAAGTACATCTTGAATGTCACCCCCAATTTGCCGAATCTCTTTGAGAACGCAGGAGAGTTCAAATACAAGCAGATCCCCATCTCCGATCACTGGAGCCAAAACCTGTCCCAGTTTTTCCCTGAGGCCATTTCTTTCATAGGTGAGGCCAATTAACGCTCCTTGCGCTGACTTTTAAATGCAAAACTCCAAGCCTTTCATACAGTTTAAGCATTTAATCGTTCTTGTTATTTGCTAATTTGTCAGACTGCTGGTCTCTAACGTTGTGAGGGCGTTCTTAATACTGGTTTATCCTTTTGGTAAGAACAGGGCCTTTTGACATGGCTACAGACCCACGGATGTTAATTGAAATGCTGTTTTGTTTCTCAGCCTTTGAATTCAGTCATTTGAAGGGGGAAGAGGGTGATATATTCAGGCACAATTTCCACACGTGGAGTTCTGTGTGGTGCTGTGGGATAATGCACTAGATGAAGGTCGGTTTGAACCTCAAGGTCAAAGGTTCAAACTCACCAGCTGCTCCTTGGAAACCCTATACAGGTTTGCTGTAAGTCAGAACCAGCTCTCTGGCACTTAACAACAAGGCTCCATATGATAAGCACCGGACTGCGAACCATAAGTTCTGCAGTTCAAGCCTGCCAGCCACTTTGTAAGAAACCGATGAGGCTCTCTGCTCTCGAAAAGATACAAAGCCTTTGAAATTCTATAGAGGGTTGCCATGAGTGTGAATCGACTGGACCGGACACAACAAAGGAGCTAAAGTGAATTATTCTCTGTAGAAAGGAATTCTAGCATTACGTTATAGTTTTTAAGAGATCTGGAAGTTGTTTTAGGACATCAAGTTAATTGTTGGAAAGTGTGTGAATGCTAAATATTGTCCAGTTGTATGATACTGTGATACTGCTAACCGGGAGACAGGGGCTGTAACCTGAACCTAGCAGGAAGAACTGTGGGCTGGAAGCCTGGGAGAAGTGAATCTCCAGGCATTGTAATGCATTTCCTATTACAAAGGAACTCATTTTCAGGCCATGTCGACATCCTGTTCCTCCTAATGGGCTGTCCCCTGTGACTTCCCTCTCTCTTTTAAAATGCTTGAATACCTCCATTGTTAGCTGCACAACAGTTGGAGAATAATTTAATAGACCCTTGCAGTCTGCTTGTCTGTATAAAAGGCATTCACAACCATATTGCAGGGTTTCTGGTATTCACATGCTGGGGCAAAGAATGCACACATTAAGGAGTTTTTTGTTGGCAGAAGTGTAATACAAAAGCTCCCTTTTCAGAAAATATCTGAAATATGTAATTGTGCACCAGTGTACATGTTTTATCTCAATGATACATTTTCTGCTGCCTGCTGGGCTCAACTGCCACACAGAATGTCTTTTTCTTTTCTTTTTAAATTCATTGCTTAGACGATCATTCACAAAAGATAGCTTCAGTCTACTGAAATCTTGCCTTTTTTGTGTGTGTTCACAGATGAAGCCCGGGGCAAAAATTGTGGCGTCTTGGTGCATTGCCTGGCTGGCATCAGCCGCTCCGTCACGGTCACTGTGGCCTACCTTATGCAGAAGCTCAATCTGTCCATGAACGATGCTTATGACATAGTCAAGATGAAGAAATCCAACATCTCCCCCAACTTCAACTTCATGGGCCAGTTGCTGGACTTCGAGAGGACACTGGGACTGAGCAGCCCCTGTGACAACCGAGTCCCTGCACAGCAGCTGTATTTCACCACTCCCTCGAACCAGAATGTCTACCAAGTGGACTCCCTGCAGTCCACGTGAAAGGACCCCATGCCCCTCTTCACTATGGTGGGGCCGTTCTTCTGCGGTTTCTTGGCAGCATCGGCTGGGCTGCTTTGTTTGTGTGTGGCCCTTGGTGTCAAAATGGCACCAGCTGCCTGTATTAGACAAGGTTACCAAGTACGAAATTAGCTATTACAAAGAGGGATAGATTTTCTCCATTCCTTTTGGAGGAACAGGACATGCTGTATTAGATACAGGCAGTAGTTTTGCTCTGTACCCAGGTGTACAACCTACCCATGCAGGGACTGGAATTCAAGGACTTCCAGGTATATAGGGTAGGACCAAATGGCAGGGTAGGAGTACGTGTTCCTTAGGGCCTTGTACATGGCTGTTTCCTTTGCATCTGGAACTGACTATATATTGTCTTCAGTGAAGACTGATTCAATTTTGCATATAGAGGAGCCAAAGAGAGGTTTCAGCTCTGTATTTGTGGAATCAGTTTCAAAAAAAAAAAAAAAATCTGAGGCTAAATTTGATTATTGTAAATATTTGATTTTAAATCACTTGACGCAGTGTTTGTTTGAATTGTGTTTGTTTTCTCTTTGATGGGTTTAAAAGAAATTGTCCAAAGGGAGAAAGAGGCAGTATGTCACTTCTTAAAACAGGAAAATAGAAAATTTTGCTCTTTTCCAATCCAAAGGGTCTATTTGCAGCATGCTCAGCTTTACTGTACCAACTCTGAATGACATTTTTCATGGACAATATTATCACTAAGATCTTGTGGTGCAGTCTTGAGTCTCTTTCATGTATCTTCTTGTGATTTTTTTCTTCTTAATGTTGTTTGACTATGCCATACCTTTGTAAGTAGTTTGGCTTATGTTGTCTCAAAAGCTATTTCTTAGAAAGACACCAAAATCATGGGCTCACTTTTTTTTTTTTTTAAAAACTTCAGCTGTGCTAAACAGTATATTACCTCTGTATAAAATTCTTCAGGGAGTGTCACCTCAAATGCAATATTTTGAGTTGGTTTCCTTCCTTTTTTAAAAAAAAAAAAATTTGTATAAAACTGGAAGTGTGTGTGTGAGCATGGGTACCCTAAGTGAAATGCATCTGATTGTTAACAAGGGAGAGTTAAATTGCTCCATTATGTTCATGGTGTAAAGTTTTGAGCTGGAATTTATTATAAGAATGCAAAATCTTAAATTATTAATAAATAACTATTTTGGCTATTGAATGTGTATTTTTAAAAATCTTATCTCGAGCTGTACTAACATATAAAGTGATACATTTTAGTGGGAGAACCGATACCAGCTTGTAAAGTACATGTAGGAGATAGCAGGGTAAAGTTCTCATTTTTAAAGCTTTTCCTAGTATATTTTTGAGGTTTAAAATTAGTCTTTTGCTTCAAAAATAAAGATGGCATCATAGAATGGTCATACTGCATCCATGTGTGTGGAAAATAGTCTCTATGAATAGAGTGCCAGCTTGCTTGTGAAAATTATAGCCCATACCTCATTTCTTGCCACGGCATCTACTCCCACTCACAATAACCCTATAGACCAGAGTAGAACTGCCCCATACGGTTTCCAAGCCTGTCTCTAAGGAAGTAGACCGGTCACATCCTCCTTCCACAGGTAACTGAACCACTGACTTTTTGGTTGAAAGCTGAACACTTACCCACTGCATCACTACCCCAAACCTACTGCAAGTAAAGTCATAGAGCACACCTTACCAAGATACAAAAGTATTCATGAACAGAAAAAGACGTACCAGAATGACAAGGAGCTCCTGAGTGGAGCAAACAGTTAAGAAGTCAACCTACTATTCTAGGCCAGGGTTTGGCAGTTCAAAAGGTATCTTGGAAAACAGGCCTGGAGCTCTGTTTCTGAAACTATACAGTAGTTCTGCTTTGTACAGAGGATTGCCATGAGGTGAACTTGACAAAAGGAACTTACAATGAATACTAGGTTTTTCTTTGTCAGTCTTTTAAAAATGCTTAGAAATGCCAAGGGGAAAGTGCAGATAACTCCTTTTCCAGTTTATTTCTACTGTTTGGCGATTCCGCCTGTAAATTATTTTAGTGTTGGAATAATGAATCCAGTGCATAGTTTCTCTCATGTTTAAGCATTCTTGCTGAGCCTGAATGTGGCTTTAGCCATCTATTCCATAATGTTAGCTTTGTGCTTAAAGCTGGTAGAGAATGTGGGCCTGAAACCCCTATTGAACTTTATGGTACAGATTATTTTGAGCAGCTTCTTTCAAGACACAAAATTGAAAGAGCCTGTGATTTTTCCCTGGGATCCCCTCTCCTTACCCTGTGAAAAAGTACACAAACCAAAATAAAAGTAAAGGGTAGGTGTTTGGGAATGAACAGAATTATATAGAGCATACCTCAGCCCCATTTGGGCCCTTTCCACAAGGAACCTTCACCTGAGAGAGAAAGGTGAACTTTTTACTCACATGGTACGGATGAGATAATCTACATTAAGGGGAAAGTGGCTCTCATGCTATAAGAATGGTATTAAACTGTCCAGTGTGATTTTTAGCAACTGCTATTGTTCAGTGCCATCCAGTCGGTTCTGATTCATAACAGAAACCTTGTATTCCAGAAGTCCTGGTATGGCGCCGTGGGATAAGCACTGGACCTGAAGTCAGTTTGAACCTCAAGGTCAGTGGTTCAAACTCACCACGTGTTCCTTGGACACCCTATATAGGTTGCTATGCCTTGGTATCAACTCAACAGCATAGTGTTTCTGAGGCTGTAAATCTTACTGGGAGCAGAAAGCCTCATCAGTTTCTTGTGGAGCAGCTGTGGTTTGCCTTAATTTTGGCTTTCTTGTTAAATGCCATGGAGTTGGTTCCGACTCATAGCAACCCTGTATAGGGTTTACAAGGAGGTTTGTATAGAAGGCACAAAAACAGTATAGAATAATATCAAGCCAGTTTCTCCTATTTAGGTGCCCCAAGTCAGGAGGAACTCAGAAAGGAGAAGTGGGTGCCGTTCAACTTGGCTCATGTTAATCCAGTTCTGAACGGTTTCCGCTCCTGGCATTCCCTAAACTGCCTGTTCAAAGTAGGGATTTGCAAGCAGTGTTAGCAATTTCCTGTCAAGCTGCAGCTCAACTAGCTGCGTGCTTTTTTCCCCCTTTCTTTTCTTTTTCGTTCTTTCTTCTTCTCTTTTTAAAATATGGACTGTGGATAATTTTAGTGCATTTCCTTTTTGTGGATTATCATCTCCTTTCCTCCTTGAACCTCCATACATTGGGTTCCTGCTTTAGGGCTTAAGCCGACAGCTGGCCTCCCCAGCACTTCCTCTCGTTTCACTGTGGGTTTGTTGTTTGTCAGTCCACTTCTGAAATTAATAATGTTTTCTGGCAAAGTGCCATAAGCCATTACCACAAAGGGGAAGTAACACATATGAATAGCAGGAAGCCATGCAGGGTCACAGTGTGAGCTGAACCTGTGGAGGGAGCATAATTGAGCCGGGCCCATTCAGCAAGTGTCCAACTGCGATTTGGGGAGAGAGAGCTTGCTGCATTTAAGCAGCTCTGGCTGTGGAAAAATAAAAAAAGTTTCCAATAAATTGGTAGCAAATGGTCTTTGTCACCAGCTGAATAAAGGAGAGAGAGCAAGAAAACTCTGGGTGCCCCATAAAGTTGCAATGTTTGGGGCTTCTGCCCCCTCTTCTGGCATGTTGTTTCATAAGGCTGGTGAATAGGGGGGGGGTGACTGCTTCCCTCAATTCCCACAAAAGAGCTCATGTTAAATGGGTGGTATTCATTGTTCACATAGGCCGGGAGATTCAAAGAGCTAGTCTCTTTCTTCTGTGTAAGGTGGAAGGTTGTAACTGACAGCATGGGCCTCACCTCACCCTGTGCCTCCCTTTCTTCTGGCCTTTGCACTGCTCCTCTGGTTTCTTTGTGCTTGGAGAAGCTGTGCTGAAGGCATCATTTTGCATCTTGGAGTTGGGCTGCCTCCTGAATGGAGCCTGCATGGTTACTAGGGCAACCTTTGCCAGCAGCTGCAGCTCCCCGGCCTCCCACCTCACCTGCTGTCCCCATTAGTGGCTTCCTTCGGTCTCCCACACCCTCGGGTCCCTCCCTTGGGGTGCCTTTCAGAAGAAGAGGTTATCTGTTGGTTTGGTGTCTGTGTGTGTGTGTGTGTGTGTGTGTGTGTGGTGGGGGGGCGGGGGAGATAGAATTTAGGAAATACAGTGAGTAATGGTGTCAATAGGCTTTAGGATTAAAATTGGAGCTGGAAAAGGTTATCTGGGGATAGAAATACTGACATAGTCTTCAAAGGAGTTAAAATGGAGACTTGCCCTAAATCTGCTATTGTTGTTGCTAAGTGCAGTCAAGTCAGTTTCAACTCATAGTGACCCTCTTATAAAGTTACCAAGGAGCAGCTGGTGGGTTTGAACTGTGATTCACAGGCCAGTACTGAGCCTACAGCACCACACCAGGAGTCCATAAATTTGCTATAAGGAGAACTGAACTCTAACTCCTGCGTTCTTATAGATGAGTTGATAGATGAGTTGAGTGGTTGGGAGGCAAACCACCAACTTTACGGACTTTCTCTTTTCGTATCAGCAAAATGAAGGAGTATTTGTTTCTCATCCTAGAATTCATAATTTCAGCCTTCTGGTCAGGCCTGGGGTCCCTGATGGTGTGTATGATAAAACACTTGACAACTAACTAAAAGGCTGGCAGTTCAAATCCACCCAAAGGTGCACTGATCTGCTTCTGAAAGGTCATAGCCCTGAAAACAAGCACAATTCTACTCTGTACACAGAGGATCACCATGAGTCATAATAGACTCGAAAGCAACTGCTTGTTGCTGTTTGTTATGGGTTGGTGCTTCTTATTAATTGATGAAACGAGGAACAGAGTGGGTAAAATATAATAACTAACATTAATCAAAGACAACAGGTGCCAGACTTCATATACAATATTATCTCATTTAATTCTTCAAACAGCTCAGTAGGTAGATCTCAATTTATCCTTTTTTTCCCTAATGAGGAAACAGACAGACAGAGGCCAGTATCTTTCCAAACACCATTTAAATGGGAAATGATAGAACTGAGCTTTATTTGAACCCACATGTTCTGACTCTCAACCACTAACTGGTGATCCTTTACAGGGAAGACAATCCAAACCTTTCCTGTTTCCATGCCTTTAGTTCTTCCTGTTGTAAACTGCTTGTCATCATTATTTGCTCCTCTTTATAAAACCCCGTGATGTTGGCTAGGAAGTGGTGACCCCATTTTGCAGCTGAGGAAGTAGAGGAAGCAGTGGTTAAGTGACCTACCAAATCAAACCCAAATTCTGCAGCCAAACCATAAGAGAATCAGAGGGTCCCACCTGGTGCTGCCAGAGAGGTGTCCTCCTTCTGGAAGCTTCCATCCTTCCTCTTGACTGAGAGGCTGCCGTATTTTGGGTCCATTAACACATAAATCACAGATCTTATTTTCCTAAAAATCACTATAGCAGCCAGCAGCTGTCCTGCCTGCCCCCACCCCTTGCCTGTGCTCCACTTGCACCAAAGAATTTCACTTCCTCCATGTGAGTAGGAGACACATGGTGGTGGTCTGCAGAATCAGAAAGGTATATAGGTTATTAACCAATAGTGGGAGGAAGGCAGGAAGCATATAAGGCAGATCATGTGGTTTCTGGCTCTAAGTATTCTTGACATCTTCTCAAAAAAACTCTGTCTTCAGACCTTAAACTGTTTCAACGCAATTATTTTTGGTGTAGATTTATAGGCAGTTCCTAACTCAGCCATAATTGCTTTTCAAAAGATCCTGTAAAACTTTCAAATTGCCACGTTACTCCCCTTGTATTCTTATTGCTAATTTAGCAATTGGCCTCAAATCTGTCCAGTTTTAGTGACTGAATCTTCAAACTTCTGTAAAGTCCAAAATTGATTTCCTAAGAGTATTTAAGGACATGGAACAAAGTTCAAACAATTCTCCAATGTTTGTCCAGGCCTTGATGTGCATTGTACTGGTTCAATAAAGCAAGGTTTAAATAAAAGGCAACCGAAGACTTGAACTAAAACCCTATAACCAAAGCCACTGCTACTGAGCTGATTCCTACTCATTGAAGACTTTAACAGGAAGGAGCCCACAAAGTCTAAAGGCAGTGTTGTATTTCCAGATGTAACCACATAATTATTCTGTTAGTTCCAATTGAAAGTGGAACCACCAAGGCAACTCAAGGCAAGTCCTTGTATGCT